TGTTCTAGATGGGGCCATTTTTTATCTTACTGCCTTTGTTTGCCTTGTGTTTAGCATGCTGCTGTTGTGGCTTGTACTTGGACTTTTACCTGCTACCTTATTTACTATTAATGATAAAAAAATGATCCTGTTTAGTTGATGAGAATTTCATCTCCTTTAAGCTCTGTTTCATTTGCACGAGCTACAGAAACATTTTCCAGTGCGTACTGTGGACAATTCTTTGATTACATTATAACCAGGATGATCTTGTTTCTCCTCTGTGAAAGTAAGCAATTCTCTTCAATCTTCTGTTTCACTTTTTTTCCTCCCACATGCTAACTCAGCAGATTTATCTATAAATTCTGATGAAATTCTGATTTAAATCCACATAAAACTGTGGATTGCACTGTTTACAAAAACATGAGGGCACTCATTTGTGGAATTAAAAAAAAAAAATCCAAGAAAAAGTTTGAGACCTGAATTACACTATTATGAAGAGCTATTTGAAAGCAGTACATATTCACTACATCTGATGCAGAGTCTGAAAAAACAATTGGATATACCTGATTTAGTACTTATTGCATATATGCAGAGGAAATAGCTACGTGTAAGTACTAGTGTATGGATTTAAGGAGCATTTCTTTTCTATGTATCTAATAGGAAGTTGGAGATTGAGATTAAACATCATTTTCCCATGTTTTGAGGACAAGATGAGTCACCAGAATCCGAAGGTTACACTGGATATGTTGACTGGTGATGTTAGGTGGGGAAACTTGTTTTATAATACATCCGTAGAAATGCAAGTGGATGTCTCAGTTCATCTGTGAGCAAAATGTTCCATGTTTTCTATCACACCAATTTTATCCCCCCACCTGATAACGCCCACTTCTATCTGGGATAATACTCTGGTGATTGAACTATTGAAGAACACAATAACTTTGGGGCATATCCTTTTTTTTTTGTCATGGTGTTTCCACTATTTGTTGCAACCTTGCCCAGTTGAAATTCAGAAAGACTATATATACTTTGGCTCATTCAGTTTATCTAATAAAATCCAATATTTGGGATTCTGTCCTGGTTTGAGGTAAAACAGAACTAATTTTCTGTTCAGTAATTTTACTTTTTTAGCTGGGCCTCTTCTAACTAACTGAACTCTGAAATTAACAGCATATTGTTCAGAAACTGTTCACTCTCACAGACTGATTATGCCAAGGAATGGTGTGCAGAAAGGCCCTTGCTTACACTTATTGCTATAACAACCAACGTCAGGCAAATTTGTTGTTTGCTCCGTTGGAGGGTTGGAAGTGGAAAAGCGTAGAGGGGTCCCACCTGTGGGGAGGAACGGACAGGACAGGTGACCCAAACCTGACCAACAGGGTCATCCCATCCACATCACACTCAGTACAAAAGCTGAGGGATCAAAGGGTCAACTCTCTTCCTTCAATGGCCAATGTCCGAGGAGGACCCTGTCTGTTCATCTGCCTTTGAGCCCGATCCGAGCATTCCTGACTCCAGATCCAGAGGACCTCAATGCGGTTTTCTTTATACTGTATACTTTTGTTTCCTTTTTTTTTTTTTTCCCTTTCTTCTTCTTCTTATTTCATTATTTATTAATATTTTCATTAGAGTAGTTTAGTTTTTTCTAAACTCATAAATCTCTTTTATCTCTTCCTCTCCTCTCTTTTCCTCAGAGGGGGGAGGGAGGGGCCATTTCTCCTGATGGGTCAATCTGGTCAAAACCATGACAGATTCTGCTGATGTAAACTATTTAAAGGCAGCTAGAAAGATACAAACAACTCTTTCTGGCTGTAAAGCATTGCTGGCCTACAAAACCATACTTGGTAAATTATCTTTTATTCTAAACACAGATGTATTGTAAAACACACACTTCAATGGTGTTGTAAGATAGGTATGTCTTTTTATCAACATTTTTCAGCCTTTAATAAAAATACCAAATTTGAAAACCTATTTCTAAGTTTAAACTGTTAATTTAAAGCAGTTGTTTGGTCTCCTCCTTTTACTACCTAAACCAAAAATGTTTCCTTATAGTGAATGGGCTGTATAGTTCTCTTAGTCTTTCTTTGGCATTTTTCTTTTAATTTTTTAAAAACACTGTAAAAAATATGAGTTGATTCTTCAGGAGAAGCTCTGTAACTGCAAAAGGAGAGTGCAATATGTATGTTCCAAGAACCTAAACACCTAAGTTGTCCAATAATTGTTTTTTTTAAGTGTCTATTCTTGACTTGTAGAAATTTGAGGAAGAAAAAGTAAGACTGCACTTGGCCGAATGGCACCTGAACCGTAGCCCCACTGTAGTTTCCTGGGGGTTAATATATATGTAGCTAACACAAATGGGCACGATTACCATGAAGTCTTTTGTTCTGCTTTTGGAAGCATCCCTTTGTCAGGCTCAGGCTGAAGCGTTGCCCCAGTGATGAAAAAATGCATCCCTAATATCTGAAATCTTACTGCAGTATTGGCTTGGCCGTTGGTTCTTCCTGACTGACAAGATCTCGAGGGCTGTGCTGCACCTCTAAAAGAGACAAAAGGAAACACTGGTGAAAGGGGGTTGAGTCCAGAGGAGTGGAATTTGGGGTGCAACAAAGGAAAATTTAACTCTTGAGGAATGATTTGGTCATATTTTCTATGCATAGATTTGCTCTATAACTTTGAAATATTTTGTTTAGAAAATTATAAGTGGCAACTATCATCATAAACCCTCAACAGTTTTGGTTTAGACTTAAATTTTGATTAGTTGGAAACCCCTTGAAAGAGGAAAGAGATAATTCTTCAGGGAACTTTAGAGATACTTTATTTGAATATTTCTGATCATAAGGTGACTAAACAGTTATTTTGCATATAAAAAGTTTTTTTTTAGGGCTTTGATTTTTTATTTTTTGTAAAGGCAATAACAGCTTGGCTAATCAATGAACCTCTTTTTCTCATTTGCGTATGTCTACTTCTTCCAATGATGCAAATCACTTAATTGTCCTGGCTTAAGCGACACAGGATTAATTTCTCTTTCAGTAATTTTACTTTTTGGTAAGGTCTCTTCTAATGCTTGGCAAAACTGCACTTTTAGAAGACTCTACCATCTGATAGTGTGAAAATATTTACTTTACAGCCAGCTCTGGGGTGCGGGTTTCAAGGCCTCAGTGTTCATCCAGGCACGGGGATGAGGAGAAGCAGGACCTGGGCACTTGACCCAAGCTGCCAACAGGGTTATTTCATACTGTGAACATCACATTCAATATCAATTAGGAAGTTTGCTGAGGAGTTCTCTCTCCCTTGATGACTGCCACCCTGAGAACTCCTTGCCCCGGTGCTGGAGCCCTGAGCCCTTCTCTTGCTCCCAAAGGCGCAGTGCTCGCAGGGTCCCACATCGGCTGTCCCTGTGGGGGGAACGGGCTGGGGATAGTCCCTGTGTGTTTTATATTGCTATCGGGATCAATACTGGTTCTTCAGTATTATTAATGGTATTTAGTATTATTCTATTAAATCTGTTTATATGTCAACCCTTGGGTTTCCTTTTTTCTTGATTCCCCTTCCTGGATGGGGAAGGGTCATCAGGTGATAGAATAATTGTCTAAAAGACAATAAATTGTTGTGGGTTCTTCAAACCATGACACTTACATAGCTTGTAAATCATTCTTATTTCTAATTAGAATGCCTAAATGAGAAGCTTCTGACTTTCAGATATATGTAAGAAATTAATTGCCTTTTCTTTGTTAAGAATAGTAAAGTATGTCCTTGATATTTCAGAATCTCTCGACTTTCTCAGCCGAGAATATGAAAAGCAATATTCCTCACAAGTAGGTTATGCACAAGGGTATTTTGCAAAAGTGCGAGATGAGTAACGACGAGATGAAATGCTCTCCAGCAGTGAGAACTGGGGGATGCTGATAACAGAGGCATTTTGGGTCATCATTTTCCCTTTCCACTCCATTGTTAGACTCTGTACAAATACAGTACACGAATATACCCTGTGGGTGCTGGAGTCTGCCTCTCATATCGGGCAGTGTGCTGCTGCTTTTAGAAATCTATGGATGAAGTTCTGCAATTGTGCTGCTGCTTTCAAGGTGGCTGGGTTTCTTTTGAGGTGCTGGATTTTTTTTAGGACTTCAGCTGGCCAGTTTTTTGCTCTGGTTTTACCTGTCAATTCACCCCTGCCATCCCTCCCACAGACCCTACTCTCCTTCCACTGCAGCCACTACACCTGCCTGATCTTGGAAATACGAGTTAACTAAACCGAAACAACTAACATGCCCGGAACAAAGGAGTGCCCTGATTTTCATAGATTCTAGAAGAGACTTGCAAGTCTGAAGCTTTTGCATTAATAATTAGGTTGCAAAATTAGGTTCTAACACTCTCCTGCTTGGAAGCTGTCCCCCTCCCTCAAAAAAGAGTCCTTCCAGATCAGGCCTTAGTTTGACCAACACCCAGTTCAGATAACGCTTCATAAGGCTTCTATTAGGTGATGCAGAACCTGAGGGTGTGAATGGGAAAGAACTGGCTCATTTGTGACCTTCAGACCATTTACTCTGAAGGCCTCTCCAGTCTGCAGCTTGTCAACATAGCCCAGGCCTGCGACGTTATTTTCCCTGAATCCTTTGGCTTTGTGGCTCAGATTGGGCTGCAGAGACTCGGGTTTGGGTCTCAGTCGGGATGTCTCAAATGCACCAGAGTGGAGAGCCGGGTTTGCCGAGCCTTTGCCCTGCGTGCAGGAGAAGATGGCAGCCTGACGCGCAGCTTGTGTCACGGCGCCGGCCTTCGTCCCCCTCCCCGGCCGCGCCGAGCGTCACGCGTGGGGACCCGGCGCCTCGATGGGGCCCCGCTGTGTGCCTGACGCTGTCCTTTGTCCAGCCACGGCTGCCGAGGAAGGAGCCGCCGGCCAGGCCTACCCTCGGCCGGCCCCACAGCAAGGCGGGGCGGGGCGCGGGGAGGGCGGAGCGGTGCCCCCCCCCCGGGGCAGCGCGGGCTCCGGGCCGTGCTGCCGCGCTCCGCCCCGGCCGGTCCCCGTGACGCGGCGGGTGGAGCCTGGCGGCGGCGGCCTCGGCAGGGGAGGGAGCGGAGCCGGGGGGGTGGCTGACAGGCCGGCAGGATGCTGGAGATTCAGCTGGACGATGGCGGCGTGGGGGGGTACCCGGGCGACGATTACTGCTCGGGGTCGGTGATGTCGGAGCGGGTCTCGGGCCTCGCCAACAGCATCTACCGTGAGTTCGAGCGGCTGATCCACTGCTACGACGAGGAAGTGGTGAAGGAGCTGATGCCGCTGGTGGTGACAGTGCTGGAGAACCTGGACTCGGTGCTCACCGACAACCAGGAGCACGAGGTGGAGCTGGAGCTGCTGCGGGAGGACAACGAGCAGCTCCTCACGCAATACGAGCGGGAGAAGGCGCTGCGCAAGCAGGCCGAGGAGGTGAGCGACGCCGCCCCGCGACCATCTTGGCCGCCCGCCGGGCGGGGTCTGCGGCTGAGGGCGGGCGGGGCGGCGGCTCGGGCCTGTGCAGGCCTCGGCTCCGGCCCCTCCGTCAGCGGGGCGCGCACGGCGGGGGGGACGGGAGAGCCCCGGCAGCGGCCGGCGGTACCTTCTAGAAGGGGAGAGCGGGTGCGGGCCCCAGGGCGGTCGCTGCCCACGGCCCGGCCCCGCAGCACCGGGCAGGTGCAGCTGCTGTGGTCCGACCCTGCCCCAGCGCGGGGAGGAGCTAAACGGGAACGGCTGCGATGCCGAGTATTTGAAGAATTCGTTTTGGAATGCCAACAACTCATGGAGGGCTTGACAGCTATGCTAATTTGGGCCTTTAAAAATGCTGTAAAAAAATTTCTGTGCAGTCATACAGCTATTTTAATGTTTTATTTAGTTGGAGCAAAAAATTAGCTTTAGAGTATATCATCTGGTTTTTGAAACTTCTTCTTACCAAAACTACACTTTGAACCTCAATACAATAGTTCCCCAAGTTCATCCTCAGTCGCCCGGAGTGTGGGGCTGTGCCAGTGCTGCTCGGCTGGGAGCGGGATTTGAAAGGGGACCGTGAGAAAAACAGACCCCTCTGGTAGAAAGGAACGAAAATCCTTGGGTTACAAAGACTCAGCTGCCAGCAAAAGAGAGGGGGGAGGTGACTTGCGCTCTGTCTTCTTCCTGCACCTGCTGAACCCAAGAGCATCTCCTCAGTCATGAACGAGGGCTGCGAAGTGCAGGGTTTGCTGTTCAGCCTCTTGGAGTGATGGTCTGAACTGAGGTAGAGCACTGGTTGTGGAAGAAGGCCATCACCACTGCCACATCATCCTTGTTTCACTGCGCAACTTCTTATAGGCTAAGAAAGGGCAGATTTAAGGTTCAGGAGTCTTAATAGGAGTAAAATTCTGATTTGATAAGGGGTAGTAAATGAACTAGCTTTTAAACTGGAGAACAGCATAAAGCACCATACAGTTTTTTAACAGATGTGATCTTGATGCTTAATAATCACGTGCAAGGATCTTGCTGACTTGATGAGGATGCACTTGCAGCCCATTACTAATACTGAAAGCAACGGCCAATCAATGAAGTTTTAGTCCTGAGTTTTAATTCTGTATTAATGGACTAATAAGTAATCTTTGAAGTTCTTTTGAATTCATGGAGGGATGAAGAACGATTCTGAGTACATGAGACTTTAGTTATTAAACATTGCATGGAGACTTTTTTTGCAGCTTCTGAGAAATACATTTTTTTAAAAGTGCACTATTTATGGTGGGGGGGTAAAGGGACTGCAATGGGGAAGGGAACAGTTCCGTTGGAATGATCTTGCATCTTTGGACTAGGGTGGATTTCTGTTCTTGACTTAATAGATATAGGATGTGTTTTCTGGAAGCAAATGTAGTGATGACAGTTACTTTCCCTGCAAGAAAACTCAGGAACCATACCCGAATACTGTTTGTTGAGATTTAAAGAGCACCGATGATGATGATACTCTGTTGTTCTTATGCACAGCTAAGTGTATGTGGGGAAAAAGTGTCTCCAAGGAGATAGATAATGTGCTTTACATGAGAACAAATGAGTACATATGTCTCTACATAAGCCATGTTACAAGGTCATAGATAGAATATATGGCTTTTCTTTCCATCTTCGTATAATGAAAAGGATGTTATTTATCTGCAGCTGTTTCTGATATGCCCCTTACTATGCAGTAAAGTACATGTTATGGAGGTGAAAATCTGTGTATTACAGAGACCTTTGCTGTCCACCAGATAATTGTAAACGATCAAAAAATAGAAAAATGTTTTTCCACCAGACTGTGCGTTGCTGCTCTGAAGCAGTGGCCATAGTAACCAGGAAAGGTCCATCCCACTTCTCGAGCAGCTTCCAGCCTCTTGTGCTGTGCCGCAAGTCTTGGGGCGAGAGCTTCACTTTTAAGTGGAAGGATCCTCCTCTGGGAACAGGATTTGACCCTGTCGTGGTTTTGCCCAGATTGACCCATCAGGAGGAATGGCCCCTCCCTCCCCCCTCTGAGGAAAAGAGAGGAGAGGAAGAGATTTATGAGTTTAGAAAAAACTAAACTACTTTAATGAAAATATTAATAAATAACAAAATAAGAAGAAGAAGAAAGGAAAAAAAAAAAAAAGGAAACAAAAGTATACAGTATAAAGAAAACCGCATTGAGGTCCCTGGATGATGATCATGTCACCAGCAGGCACAGGGGAAAGTCCCAGGCTGGACTCAGGGATGGACAGGAGCTGGATTCCAGATCTGGAGTCAGGAATGCTCAGATCGGGATCAAAGGCAGACGAACAGACAGGGTCCTCCTCAGACATTGGCCATTGAAGGAAGAGCGTTAACCCTTTGATCCCTCAGCTTTTGTACTGAGCGTGATGTGGATGGGATGACCCTGTTGGTCAGGTTTGGGTCACCTGTCCTGTCCGTTCCTCCCCACAGGTGGGACAGTTTTCACTGTAGCATGCTCTCAGGGCAGAAAAGATGATATGAAATTCATTGTGGTCCATATCCACAGGTAGCATGTCCATCTTGAAGAGTTTGCTGGACGTCACGTGATGAAGCTAGCTCAGGTTTCATCACCACTGTTTATCCTGAAAAACACTTACTGAGTAATGTTAGTATTATATAGCAATTAACATCATACAGCTCAGAATTGAGTATTCTCACCTAGGGCTAAATTTCCTTGAGGTACACATTGAATTTCTCGCATTTTCCAGCATCACCCACCAAGAACATCTAGGTCCTTGGGCAAAAACAGTCCCATGAATGGCTTTGCCTTTGCCTGAAGTAGGAAAAATACATTTTTCCTCAACATATTCCTGTCATGCACCACAGGGATTTTATCCCCTTCTACATTATGTGAAAGGTCTGATTGAGCAGGACCAGCTCGATTGATGGATCCTCTGGTGTTAACTAACCAGGTAGCAAAATAAGAAGAAGAAGAAAGGAAAAAAAAAAAAAGGAAACAAAAGTATACAGTATAAAGAAAACCGCATTGAGGTCCCTGGATGATGATCATGTCACCAGCAGGCACAGGGGAAAGTCCCAGGCTGGACTCAGGGATGGACAGGAGCTGGATTCCAGATCTGGAGTCAGGAATGCTCAGATCGGGATCAAAGGCAGACGAACAGACAGGGTCCTCCTCAGACATTGGCCATTGAAGGAAGAGCGTTAACCCTTTGATCCCTCAGCTTTTGTACTGAGCGTGATGTGGATGGGATGACCCTGTTGGTCAGGTTTGGGTCACCTGTCCTGTCCGTTCCTCCCCACAGGTGGGACAGTTTTCACTGTAGCATGCTCTCAGGGCAGAAAAGATGATATGAAATTCATTGTGGTCCATATCCACAGGTAGCATGTCCATCTTGAAGAGTTTGCTGGACGTCACGTGATGAAGCTAGCTCAGGTTTCATCACCACTGTTTATCCTGAAAAACACTTACTGAGTAATGTTAGTATTATATAGCAATTAACATCATACAGCTCAGAATTGAGTATTCTCACCTAGGGCTAAATTTCCTTGAGGTACACATTGAATTTCTCGCATTTTCCAGCATCACCCACCAAGAACATCTAGGTCCTTGGGCAAAAACAGTCCCATGAATGGCTTTGCCTTTGCCTGAAGTAGGAAAAATACATTTTTCCTCAACATATTCCTGTCATGCACCACAGGGATTTTATCCCCTTCTACATTATGTGAAAGGTCTGATTGAGCAGGACCAGCTCGATTGTTTATCCTGAAAAACACTTACTGAGTAATGTTAGTATTATATAGCAATTAACATCATACAGCTCAGAATTGAGTATTCTCACCTAGGGCTAAATTTCCTTGAGGGACACATTGAATTTCTCGCATTGTCCAGCATCACCCACCAAGAACATCTAGGTCCTTGGGCAAAAACAGTCCCATGAATGGCTTTGCCTTTGCCTGAAGTAGGAAAAATACATTTTTCCTCAACATATTCCTGTCATGCACCACAGGGATTTTATCCCCTTCTACATTATGTGAAAGGTCTGATTGAGCAGGACCAGCTCGATTGATGGATCCTCTGGTGTTAACTAACCAGGTAGCTTGTGCTAAATGTTTGTCCCAGTTTTTAAAGGTTCCATCCCCCCATTGCTTTCAGGGTGGTTTTTAATAATCCATTGTATCGCTCACTTTTGCCAGAAGCTGGTGCATGATAGGGGATATGATATACCCACTCAATACCATGTTCTTTTGCCCAGTTGTCTGACTCAATTCTTTCTGGAGTGCCATGTCACCACAAGACTTGCTTTTCAAGGCCCAGGATGGTGTTCCAGGCAGTGGCATGGGGTATGGCATGGGTTTCCAACCATCCGGTGCTTCCTTCCACCGTTGTAAGCACGTACCGCTTACCCTGGCGGGTTTGAGGGAGTGTGATGTAGTCTCTTTGCCAAGCCTCTCCATACTTGTATTTCAGCCACCGTCTCCCATACCACAAAGGTTTTAACCTTTTTGCTTGTTTGATTTCGGTGCATGTTTCACAATCGTGGATGACCTGTGCAATAGCATCCATGGTTAAATCCACCCCTCGGTCACGGGGCCCATTTGTATGTTGCATGCCTTCCTTGATGACCTGAAGTGTCACAGGCCCACCAAGCTAAAAATAATTCACCTTTATGTTTCCAGTCCAAATCCGTCTGGAAAATCTTAGCAGTCTTGTCCGCTGATTGTTTTGATGTTCCTCAGTGGCTCGGCTCATGGGTACATGAGCATCTACATGACGTACCTTTACGACCAGTTTCTCTAGCCATTCGGCAATATTTTGCCACAATCCAGCAGCGCAGATAGGTTTACCTCTGTGCTGCCAGTTGCTCTGATTCCACTGGTTTAAGCATCCCCCCAGAGCATTTGCCACCATCCATGAGTCAGTATAGAGATAGAGCATTTGCCACTTTTCTCGGTCAGCAATGTCTAGGGCCAGCTGGATA